AGTATAACTTTTCCATCATTCTCTCCTTGCATATTTCTTTTTTGAGGGATGGGTACCAGGAATCAAATTCAGGACTGCATGCTTGCCAGGCAGGTGCTGCACCACTCAGCTAAATCTCCAGGCCCAATTTGTATATTTCTGACATCCTAAAATTAAGCACTTAAAATGAAAATCAAATACTAATGGACTATAAATTAATTATATTTATAGAATAATAGACTACTATTTCAATTCAAATTATCACAGTTTAATACTTTCTCTTTCATGATTTCTTTCTATAAGCAAAAGACTTCATTGAAAGGCAAAATATAGCATCAGCTGCTATAGTCCTAGTGTGTAGCTAGGTGATCAAATAATACTGCTTTTCAAACAATGAGGAAAAAGATAGTAAACTATGTTAGTTCAAACTTAGAGGTCACAGGGATGAGGAAATTAGGGCAATGGCAAATTAAAGAAAGGGAGTTGAATCCAGGAGAATTAAATAAAAGCTATATACTCACAGCTCACATGGTCTGTCGACACAGGTTTTAATAGACACATACAGTAATTTTTTAAAGAGTTATTTATTTGGGAAGGTTGAATATAGTAAAGAAACCTATTAAATTATTCTAGTCTGAAACAATATGTTGCCTGTGAGAATTAATCTAGCTCTTCATTTAAATAAAATTTCAAAAAACAGAAAAAAAAAAATCATCTATAATATAGGATTTAAAAATCTTCAAGAAAGGGTGCAATCCCTTTTGAAGCCTCCCCTTCCCCCTAGAAGTCATGATTGTTACTGTCTGTGTGTCTCAAATTCTGTGCTGCACCTTATGTGGCCCATGACTCATTGCTCTCTCAATTAAAATGACATAAAATTATATAAAAGTTAGCCTTAACTTGCCTTATGTACTTAGGAAATAAGGGATGTTCTCCTAGATTAACACGTACGATTCTGCCTCCTTATTTTTGCTGGCCAGTGTGCTCTTGGTCAGATGTTTCAGAAATTATTTAAGCATTTTTCAGTAGGAGATGAGTTGTTCTCAGTTTCATTCAAATAATTTCAGCTGCCTTTTATTGTAATATCATGTGTTTTTAATAAGAATACTACAGTGACCATCTTTGAACATATGTTTTTACATTTTACATTATTTCTATAAAATGGTTTCTAAGAAGTGAAGAGCCTATTTGGAGGCGTGCAGAGTTTGAAATATTACTTATATTGTCAAATTGTTTCTACTGTGCTATCCTGTATACTCTGGACAGTATATACAAATGAACATTTTAGTTCCTCATCATTCAATAATTTTTAACTAATTTATGGAGCAAAACCCTTACCATCTTGCTTTATGTTACATTTATTAAATCATTGGAAGAAAAGAATAAAAGTGATTTTCAAAATTTTTCTATAAGTAAAAATGGCAGAGGTAGAGAAGGTATGCAGGAGAATAGGAGGATTCTTCAACAGCAGAATTCAGAGATCATGAAGGCTTAAACTGGAGCCGGAAGTGGTGCCTCCATTTCAAAGAGAACTGCGTGTCAAATATCATGTTAACTTCAGGTCACCGCTAGTAACACTTAGGCGTGTTTGGCAAGCATTTCTTTAAAAGTGAAAAAAGAGGGTTTTTTTCCTTTTGAAGTTAGAATTCATTCAGTACTTCTAAATTTGCGGTACATTTAAGGTATTATGTATTCAACTACTTGAATTTAAATGACGAATCCTGTAATATGTTTCTTTGAATGCTGACCGTAGTCTTTGTCTTCTGAAGAATATTTTAATCAAAATATTAAAAATAAGCTGGAGTCTCATTCAAATAGTTAATTCCAGCTGCCTTTTGTTGTAATATATCATGAATTATCTCTCTGATGGATGGGTAGCCAAATGCAGATAAAATTAGCTTTGCAGTCATTCATTTTAAATTGCTCTTGAATCATTTGGAAGTAAATTCCATTTCAGAAGAATATGCTTCAAGTCTCAGACAAAGAGATAATGGTCCTATATTTTATGATATAAGCAATAATAGTTTAAGCCTTATGATTCAGAAATGTAGAAACTTATGTATTAAGTTGGTGAAAATTAAGGCTTGATATATAGCAATAAAACTACCTTCCTAGATTGATGTTCATAGCATAATATTTTCTTGTCAAGAATTAGGTAGAATGAAAGCCTATAAAAATAATACATGGTGCAAAGCTTTCTTTTCTTGTATAAAAATGAAAAAGCAAATGCCTGTAGAAGATAAGAGAAAAGGAAGTACTGAGATTTACTGATATCAAGATAAAAATGGCACTACTGTTGGAATGTCATTGTTGAATAATAATGGGAAGCAGAAAACTAAGGCAGATGTTAGAAGAGAGAAAAATTAGTAATAATGCTACGTCTAAATCAGAAGTTGATACTGAAGTCAGTGTACAGAAAAAAAAGCAACTTTGGAAAGTCTACGTCATTAATTTGAATGAACTACTTGTAGAAAACCTTTTTAGCAATGTTGTTATTCAATTCATTTAGCCCAAATAGAGAAATGCAGTCAGTATCAGCAGGGAAGGTAAGCATTTTTATAAAATATAACAATTGAAGATAACTGTAACATGATGCCAGAAATAAATCCACCATCTGAAGTTGTTCACAAATTGAGTTCCTATTATCATCCTGGTATCACCACTTCAGATATTTATATTAAGAAATAAAGTGGTAAGAAGACACATTTGTTGATCTCCCTGTGGAAAAAAGCCAGAATTGTTCTTTTATAGCTTCAAGTTTTGCAGCATGGGTTTAATAACATCAGAGAAGTGGTTTACATAAAGATAGTAGTCTATCCGATCAAGTAGATGCTTAAATGTTATCTCCATGCACCGAACAGTCCTCTAGTGGCCATGAAGGAGTTAGCATCTGCATGCAGGGATCGGCCCAGGGATGAGCGCTGACACGTAGCTTAAGGAAAAACCAGGCACAGTAAGTTCACACACCTGCGCCTGCACACAGCGGCAAACACACTTGCTTAGAGAATGGGCTGGAGTTGAGTTTCTCAGCTCATGTGTTCTGGATCACATCCAATCACAATAAAAACACCAAATACATTCTCAAATGAATGTCCACTGAAAAGGAGGTAATTACACTTGTCAGACTCTTTATAAAGTGACATGCTTCATGGCTAGATGACCTGTGCTGGCACATAGGACTAATGCTTCATTTTAATGTCATGTTGTCCCCATTTCAAAATTCTTAATACATTTTTAACAAGAGTCCCTGAATTTTCATCTTGCACTGGCGCATACAAGTGTTATAGCCAGTCTTGTATGTGGATATAACAGTAGTTAAGATATTTCCAATTTGTAAATGACTTTGAAGCACTATAAACTCCAAGTTACCTCATTACTATTTTACAAATGATAAAAATTGCTTTTATAAGATTAATATTAATGCTTTTATAAGACTTTTGTTAACTTCCTAAAATATGCCTTGTACTATCCTACAATTAGGAAAATGAAAATGAAAAACAACACAGGCCCTGCCTTCAGAGAGTTTTCACTCTAGTGTTATAGACTTCTGGGTTTTGGAAAATTGGTAATAGTTGCATCAAACTCTTTGTTATAGCTGAAAATTAAATTCTTCCATTTATATGAGAAGCAAATGCATAGTCCAGAGCACATAAATGTCTATATGGAATACATGGCATTTTCAGCAGATCATTTTTTCCTCATTAAATACACACAGATACAGTAGAAAAGAAACTTTAGGACAAAATTTCTAAAATGCCACTTTCTGAGAATTACTGCCAATGTGTGGCATTTTCATAGAGCAAGAACTGAATAAAGTGTTCTCTGAGCCTGCTGCACACGGGGGCAGGGGGTTCTTCTCTGCATTGTTTGGGAAGAGTTTCTAGATCACATGTCCCAGGTGGAGAAGGAAAGAATTTCACAATAGCCCATGAGTCCACTGATCACCCGTCCATCTGGACTTTGTTATATTTATTCCACCGTACATCTGCACTCATTCTGGGTCTTGAATTTTCTTTGCAAATGTCATGTCAATTATAGAACTAGAAGTGATACACCATATTAATATGACTTTATCTAGGCCATAGCCTGGAATTTACTGTCTGAGTGTTAACAAGAAATTACTGTGTTATTCCTGGTTGGAGCAGCTTTCTAGAGGAATATTAGGAGAAGGGTTCCACAAACTAGAAGGTAAACAAACACTGGACCTATCACATGAAGAAAAAACATTTCCTTTTTTAGTGCATCTCAGCTAAATGAAATAATGGGTTTCTTTGTGACAGTTTCATGCATACTTTAAAGCATTTATAATGATAGAAATCATTTCTTAATAAGTTTCATTTTAGGTATTAGCAGGTATCTTGAAAAACTCAATAATGTGTGAAGCCTAAAACCATAGGTTTATTTTTGTAGTGATAATTTCGTCTTAAAACTAAAAGTAATGCAAAGTTAGCTTGCTCAAACATTTTAAAATATATTATTAAATCATTACTTTTATGCCAGCACTTAATAGAGTCCCTTTTGATTTGAAAGTGTATGTGCAACTTGCTCATCTCCCATAGTCTTAGTGCTTTACTATAAAGTAATGAGACTACACAGACACATGCAAGTCAGGGTAGTTGATGTTCAGTGTCTTAAGAACTCTTTCCACAGAATGTGAGGCTATACATACTTGTGCTGTATTTGTGAGTAAAATACCTGGTGTCTTTTCATCCTTTTAAAGGAACAGGAACAAATTTCACTTAATGGCTGAAAATAAGGTTTTTCATACTTTGCATGTTGAAATAGATATATAGTTATTAAGTACATTCACATGTTTTTGCACATAGAAACATACACCACAAGTAAAAGAAAACCTAGTTTGTCATTTCATTTGGCTTAATGGGTGATAATAATCAAATGTAATAGATATGGGGCTGGGGATTTAGCTCAGCGGCAAAAGCGCCTGCCTGGCAAGCGCAAGGTCGTGAGTTCGGTTCCTGGTACCGGAGAAAAAAACCAAAAAAAAAAAAAAACAACAAATGTAATAGATAATCTTCTGTAGAAGATAGCCTTACATTTTATACAGCTGTATTGATCATAGCACTGCCCATCATCACATACAATAGTAAGTGCTTCAGAAGGAAAAAAGATTGGAGAAGGCGTTCAAGCATCAGTTATGTCATGATGGATCCGTCAGTAGTCCACTGTCTTTGCCTTTTGCCTTCCTGAGATGCGTTTATTTAAGCAACGTGTTCTTGCGCGTTGACTGAGGGAGCTGAAATGGATAGAAACAAGGTTATACTTTAGGAAGCTGACAGTTTGGGTGCTTGTAGTTCAACAAGGGAAAAAACTAGAAATGATGTCCTTCCAGAAGAAAGCGAATTAAAGAGGTAAAGTGAGGAAAAAAAAAAAGAAAAAAAAAAAAAAAACAGCTGCAGGAGATGCTACTCATATGTCAGGGTTAGAAAGTGACAGTTGCGGAGGAGCTTTGAAAGCTACTTTGGTCCATGATGCAAGTGAAGCCACTTTTTACTGCAAAACAGATTGGCAGAGACTGAATGTCAGTACTATTTGACAGTTGTCCTGTGACCTAGACGGGCAAGGTCTTGGCCAGGTTTCTTAGTGGACAGATGTCCATTTCACCAATGTCTGTCTCCCAAAATGGGCGAGATAAATGAGTAATGAAATAAGCTTCAAGGTGGCATCTGAGTAAACCAGTCATGAAATACCAATTCCATACCTTTGTGACTGAACATGTGTATGTACTTTTAAAGAATTTGTGAAAAGTTTTAAGTTCGATCTGGGATTTTAACCCTGCATATTAGCATATTTCTGGAATTAATAATGGTTGTATTTTCTGTATTCCTCATAGGAAGATAATTATAGTACATTTGAAAGGGTCTTTTTATAGTATATTTGAAAGGCTCTTTTTCCCTTGACTTCTAAAAAAAATGATAGTAGGTTTTATAAAAAGGGACTTATACTATTTTTTTAAAAATTTGGAATCATGCAGCATCCAAGTTTAAAAAAAACAAGTGTGCATATCTCTCCAATGATTTTTAGGTTCAATTTATTCACTGGAGTTGGAACATCAGGCTCAAAGCAGTATGCGTGACAGTTTTGTGTGCTAAGAAAATGATTATGTTGTTCTTAGTAAGAATCCTCAGTAACGTTCTGATGAGAAGAGGCTTTGTTGGTTATACCACACCACATGACATTGCAAATGTAGATTCACAGTAAAACCAAACAGCCTTCCATCCTCAGTCCTACTATGATGCTAATATTGACTGACTTAATGTCATTGCTGTATTCCCAGTGCTTAAAGTAATTCTGAACCTGATAAATATATATATTTTTTGCTGAATGAATGTTTCATACTGTGGCAACTTTTGACAATAATAGATTCAAAGAATCTAAAGATTTTTAATTCATTTTTCTAGTATTTCTATTTCTTGCAAAAAATTTAAGGTTTACCAGTGAGCCTCATGCTTTTTGAATAAATTTCTCTCATTCTGTTTCTTTGCTTTTTTCAACTCTTAAGAATGACTGTATTTGGGGATGTGCAGTAATTATTACAGAGGTCACAGTTTTTGACTAAGACAGACCTGAGCTTCTATTCCTGTTTTGCTATTTGCTACCTGTGATTTTAGAACAACTTATTCTTCCTGGTGTTGAGTGTTGCATGTGTAGAAATGAGAATAGTAATAATCCAGATCCTTAACTGAGCAATTAATCAGTAGATCTAACATATAACAGACATTTAAGTCACTTAATTAGTTCAGTTATAAACAAATTATTTTAAAATGAATTGCATGTAAAAAGTAAATTACTATGTTCTGACAGTTTTTTTTCACTTTCTTTTTGTTTACCAGATGACGACTTTTTTCACGAACTTCCAGAAACATTTCCATCTGACCCACCAGAACCTCTGCCACATTTCCTTATTGAGCCTGAAGAAGCTTATATCGTGAAGAATAAGCCTGTGAACCTATACTGTAAAGCCAGCCCCGCCACCCAGATATACTTCAAGTGCAACAGTGAATGGGTCCATCAGAAGGATCACATTGTGGACGAGAGAGTAGACGAAACCTCTGGTGAGTCTTCTGTGGTATTTAGATTGACGTTCAGCTTCCCTGATTACTTCTGCCCGTTGTCATGCTGCTCTTTCCATTAGTGAAACTGAAATGGCATTATTATCCTTTGGCAAAAAGATTTTAGTTAGGATTTGGTGATCTCAATCTGTGCATTGCAAAGTAAAACATGATGAATAATTCTGGATTCCTGCTGGACTACATGAAATTAAAACATGATTCATGCTCGAGAAGATAAAACATGTGAAGGAATAGATAGAGCTCAACATGTGAAGTGTCCTGGTAAAACATGTCTTTGAATTTCTCTTGTGTGGTCATCAGGTGTAAATATCCTGAGATCTAGGGAGCATGTTCAGCTAAGAATAAATTTAGCTTATTGACTTTACTGCCAACTGTTAACCTATATACATTGCCCCTTATATTTCTTAAAGGATTTACAAATTTTGTAGATTGAAAATATCCTGTATTCCTAGCCTACATGCACTAACACCTCCTAGCTTCCTCACTCCATCTGTGCTGAGGTGTGTGCCGGAAGAGGGTTAGGGCTGAGAGCAGAAGAGGGCTCAGGCTCCTCTTTTTGAGGTTTGGCCTTGGTCCCTCACTCCATTATGGTGAGAACTTCTGATTTCATTATTCTGTAAATAACAATAAAATATTAAAGGCATAGAAAGTGATGCAGATTTTTAACCTGTGAGCTTTAGACTGATGGTACAGGAAACTTTCTAGGTAACAGTTTAGTGTAAGACAGGAGTAGAATCTCACAGAGTTCTTAAATTGGAAAGTGATAGTATATTTTTTGTTTGTTCTGAGTTTTTTTGCTCTGCATTAGGAAGAACAACTCTTTAGATGTTCAGGTTCCTTCCAGATCAATGATTTTATAAGACATGCGTTTTGAGTATTGCTACTTCACTCATAAAGATTTCCAAGCTAGTTTCTTTTTTAGTGTTTTTCTTAGTATGTGTTTGTAGTGCATATTGAATGCATTCATCATTGGTTCATGTTATGGTTTGGGGTATGTTGCACAGGGAACAATATAATACAAGACACATATTCTATAAGATTATTTATAATAGTCACCCAAAGAAAGATACACAAGAGTGCAGGAATTCTGTCCACACACTAAGACCAAGGAAACTAGCCAAGGGCCTGGATCCCATGGAAATGTCCTGCATGAGTCCAGCTGAAGACCTAGAGCTCATAACAGTGCCTCCCACAAGTCCAATTGGAGGCCTAGAGCCTATAACAGTATCTCATGCAGGCCTGTTTCACGGATCTGCTCTGGGAAGGCCCAAAGCTCAGTGGTGGAATCTAGGAAGCAGGATGAAGGATCTGTGCTACCAGGCTGAGAAGCTACACTGGAGCCAAGAAGCAAAGCGCAAAGTAAGAACCAGAGCTCCCCTGAAAAGTACCACAGCCATCCTCAGCAACAATGAAATCCCAAGCTCCTCAGATGATCAGGATGGCTGAGTTCCCATCAGGAAAGCCAATGCAGCAAGCTTCTCCAGGAAACCAGCAGTGCACCATCTTCCCCTCCAGAGCCAGGAAGCAATGCTCAAGGTGAAGACCTGAGCTCCCCCAAAGTGAACTGAAGCTATTCTCAGTGCCAACAAGGTCCCGAGCTCCTCGAGGTGGGGGTGAAAACAGCCAAGTTCATCAGGAAAGCCAGCATGACATGCTCCTCCAAAACAACCAACAGTTTCTTACAGTTTCTCCAGCTCCCAACAGCCTTTCTCAGCTCCCAACAGCCTCGTTCAGTTCCCAGCAGCCTTTCTCTGCTCCCAACAGCCTAACTTCTTCTCCACTTCTGCCTGTTATGCTGCTGGCAACAGTCCTCAGGTGGGCCTCCTGCACCCAGCACCATGCTTACTCAGTTCAGCTGGGGGTTATAAGTTGACCACCAGTTGTCAATCCACTACAGTTCACATAGATATCCCATCTCGATCTTTTTACTTTCCCTTCTCCAAATGTTGAATTAGCCAAAGATGAGCACAGATCAGCTCTGTAAAGGTGATTTACCTTCAGTCTCCCTAGCAATGCAAATACTGCATTGAGGAGATGGAACATAAAGAAGTAGAGTAGACTATGAGAGAACTGGGAAGGGGCGCCTTTGTGAAAATATACTATATAACATAAACGGTCCTAGGACATCAAGTGGGAATTCTGCACAATTGCTTGTCAGTTTATGAATCAATATGTTCACTTCATGTAAGCTGCTGACTGCAGAAATAACTGGAGGTGTCCAATTGTAGGGTAGCTTTCTCCAGGGAATTGCTCTGCCTCTTGGTCTAATTAGTCTGAAAATAACTCCAGCAGATGTCTTCTAAATCTCTAGTGAATTTAGTTTTATTTATTTCAGCTCATTTATTTGTAAAAATTTCAAAGGCATAAGTGTTTAACGGTAAGAAGAGAAACAACGATACCATGAAAGCTAAAATGAGAATCACAGTATAGTCAGGCTTCTTTTTACCAAATTAATGAGAATGCCAATATTGAGATATTATATCTAAAAACACAACTCTGATATTCAGCCCTTCTGCCAACCTCAGGCTATGTTGGTAACACACACACATGAACCACATATTATCTTTCCAGAAAGCTTTTGTTTTCTATATTTCTACACAAAAATAATCAATATTTCATACACTAATCACTGAAAATACCTTTTAAAGTTACTGTAAGCTAAAATATATAACATATTTATCTTCTAATTCAAGATAGGCAGGTAGGAAGTAAGGTTGGATTGGGAGACCCAGGGCTGGCTTTGTTCTTGGCAGATACAGCAATGGAGTCAAGTGCAATATAGTTGTTATTAGCTTTTGTTTTCATTGGAAGTTTTATAGGAAGGCCAGCATGCATTGTGATATTTATATACTACGTACATGTGAGTACTATCTCTAATCAAGAGAAAGCCAGAGATGTCCAGGGATCCTGATATTATTTGGTATTGTTTTAACCTCCTAACCAGTGTTCTTAGGAAAAAATGAATAATTAAAAAGGTTGAACATTATGATGAAAGTGGGAAGTTCTTATGAATGATATATGGCATAATTTTGTATCTCTGCAAAATGTATGCAGTTTTCAAAGGAGAAAATTGTAAAATCATGGAGAATACAGAAAATGGTTGAAAAATCACACAACTTTTTAATGTAAGATAGGCAATTCAAATTAAAATGCAATAAATGATGTCACTTTAATATCAATTAAAAATATATAGATGCAGAATTTTACAAAGAAAAGAGTAGGGGGGGTGTGTGTGCAGTGTACATGTGTACACAGGTTCGCACATGCTAAGTTAGCACTCTGCCATTGAGGTACCTCCCCAACTTTACAAAGAAAACTTTTATATTCTACTCCAAGTAAGCAAACAAACAAATGTAGAAACCAAAGCTATGGCTTGAGTATATAGAAAAATGTGTCTTATTCTTGAATAGAAACGATGAAAAGTTTTGAAATGTCTGCTACTTATAAATGAATTTATAAGGTCATCAACTTTGTGAGAAAATTGTAATGAAGGAACAAATCCTGAAAGAGTAACAAAGGAATTTAGCTCTTCATAAATATATTGTAGAGCTAAAGAAGCTAAAGGAATTTGATCTTAGCAGAGGAGAAAACATATATATTAATGGCTTAAAATAGATAGAAATACTTGAGTGCCTTAAGGCTTTCAGAAACTGGTAACAATAAGTTTCTCAACAATACAGGAAAAAGTTGATTCATTACCTGGGTTGAGACAAGGTAGGCAGTCAGAAAGAAGGAGACAGAGTGACAGAAGGGAGGAAGGGAGCTTGGAATCTATTTCATTCATTAGAGTAAGTTCCAGGTGTTAGGGCTTAAAGCCATAGTCACTAGGAGAAAATTTTGGAAATTTGACTGGTGAGTTGGTTTCAGTGGTAAGCCAAGCCTTTTTAAATAAGACACAGAATCTAGATGACTTGTAGGGAAACATTATTAAATTTGAATAACCAAAGCAAGACTTACAAACAGAACCAAGAAACAGATTTAAAAATAACTGGTACTATCATCTGTGGATAGATATTAGTTAAAGCATTAACTTAATATATAAATACCTTTTAACCTAGGAAAAGGATGAGCAACCCAATAGAAACTTGAACAGAGTTTGAACAGAGAAATACAGGAAAAGACATATTTTGTTGGTGGAGGTATAAATTGATACAAAATTTTTGAAGCCATATTTGAAAGATATATATATATATATATATATATATATATATATATATATATACAGTGTATACACACTTCTATAGCTTGGCATACTAATAAATGTCTGGAAACTAATGACTACCACTCTGAGCACCTCTTGTAATTTTAGAGGCCAAAAGTAACTTGTTTTAATCTCATGACATCTCAATAAATTTAGTATTAAAATATTTATACAACTTTTTCTTTTCCTGATGTATACAATTTTTCAATCTCTCTCTCTGTCTCTCCCTCTCTCTCTCTCTCTGTCTCTCTCTCCATATATATTATATATTTTCCATACTAGAAACTATCTAAAGATAAAAGTTCAAATGTGAGCAAGGACTTGGGTAGCAAGTTGTCTTCCACGCCCTCTTGGAGCTGTCTACAAGTACTGCTCATCCCTAGGTAGAAACTGTGGTGCTTTTTGAGTCACTGATGTTGCGCCATGTATGAAACTTTGGGAAAATCTCTCAGATAACATTTTCCAGGAAAAGCAAATTTTAAAAATACTATGTGTGACATAGTTCCATTGTGCAAAGAAAGAATACACACATGTATTTGTATATGCATTGAAATTTTCTGCAGAAATATGCATCGAGAAGTTGACAGCTTAGAATCCTGGTTGATATAGAGAGACTGTTACCGCTGGATTTCTTTTTCAATCCCATGAATGTATTGTTTTCATAATAAATAATGAATCCTGAAAAGAAAGTCCACACCACTTTACTGCATCTCTTTGCTGCTATTGTAAATCTCCAATCTGGACAGATATTGTGGAGAAATTCTAGGTCTTTTGTGTGAGAGCTCTTTGCTTTCCTGTGAGATCAGAATCATTATGAGTGGAACTGAAATAGAGTCATTTGTTTTGGTTTTTGTTTTCCATAAAAATGGATTCACTTGAGATGTTGGCTTCAGCTATCCACTTAACACAGGCTGGTCCTTGCAATGTCAGGGTCTTGGCGGTTTTTAATAGCAAGAAATATTAAAACACATTAAGTCTTGAAATGTATTACAAGTCAGAGAAATTTTTTTGGCATTTAAAAAATCAAAATTGGCTCTCAGATGACAGAACAGACAGAAGTCATTGCAAAAAAGTTAATTTTTAAAGATACTTCTGCCTTACAAGGATTCTTTGAGATCTATGTAATGTCAATCAGACAGATTCCTTTGCAACTAAGAAAAATCAATTGTGTTCATTAAAATCTCATGCATACTTTTATAATGAAAAATCACAAAACATTAAAACTGAAAAAAGAACAAAAAGATCTTTTAAAAATTCATCTTTTTCAATTGTGAAGCCACTAAATAGGTCCTCTTACTCAGAGGTATCAGATAAATGATGGTTTGTATTCCCCAAACACCGTCACACTGTTGATCATAACGAAACTGACTGATTAGAGGACAGTGGTGGTGGTTGCCATTGCCTTTCTGTCGTTTAAACTGCATTTGCGTCTCTTGCATGTGTGTAATAGAAGAGACAGAAAGGTGGAGGCGGCATATACTTGATGGTTTAGAAATTTTCAATCTGTGAAAGCTCTCACTTGCTAATACAGCAATACATACCTATGCTGCCTTCAGAACTCCATAGGAATCTTGATCTGCTCAAAATTTTATGGTTACATTTTCAAGAAAAATTCTGGCTCAGCAGCTTGCTCCCTGTTTACTTGAGGTCTGTTCAACTCCGGTTTCCATGGCATCTAAGATCCACCATCTCAAAGCAAATATTTTTTCCTCCGTGGAGAAGCAAGGGGAGTTTAGGAAGCCAAAGTTATTTTGAGATGTTAATAATCCCTGGGATTTTCTCCTTTCCCCTTTAATTATTCTCAAATTAGAAGAAAATGTCAACAAGACCGACCCAGCAGTGCAGCGCGTCCCCAGCTCTGTGCTGGGCACCACACAGCATCGTGTCCTGTGCGGCCCCAACAGCACTGTGAGACTCCTGCACGTCTCCTCTTGTAAGTGAAGAAATTGAGGCTCAGCAGGAAGAAAGAGCGCACTGGCCCCAAATCACATAGAAAAGGGGACTCAGACAAGATGTGCACCCAGGGATCCTCGCTGCTGCCAATCCTTGGTCGGGGCTACACGCAGCGGACTCCTACGTTCTGCCGTAACTGCTGAACCAGGGTAGGGAGGCTCGTAAGGGCGATGACCTTTTTCATCAGGGAGAGAAAGTGGTTCTCAGGGCTGGCTAACTGTTTCTTCCATAATTCCCTATTCCTTCCTTGCCTGTGGCAGTTTTCTACACGATTCTTTAATATAGTAGCTTAACCTTGTGCTTAGGATCAGGTTACCTTCATTCTTGAAGTTCTTTCCTGTTTGGCCATTTGGCATAAGGTGGGCCTGGGTAGGAAAAAGTGAAGAAAAATTGATGATGACCAGAAATTATTATTGGGGACAGATTTAAGTGAGTTATTTTTACTCAACCACACCCTGTAGCCTTCCCACAAGAGATGTGCTCACATTGCAGTGAAACCCTTTGTCTCTTATGTACCAGACTCTGACATTGCTTCTTTCCATTATGATACCAAAAATCAAAATTTCAGCTTTACCCTTCACTCCAGAATCCAAAGTGGTCAGCAAGTCCTGCCTATTTCTCCTCAAACTATGCTTCTGGTTTTTTTTTTTGGTTTTTCTCTGGGACCGGGAATCAAACTCACGACCTTGCACTTGCCAGGCAGGCGCTGTGCCACTGAGCTAAATCCCCAGCCCCTATGCTTCTGTTTTAATTCTTACTCTTATCTCCTAGATTATTTGAGTGACACCATATGCCTATATAACCTTGGCCTTGTCCTCAGTGGTCCATTCTCCAATGATTATAGACCTAGTCATGGCCATTCTACTTCTTACAAAGCTAGAATGGCCTCCCTTTGTCCATAGGATAAAGCACATGCTTCTCCAAAAGCTTTTCAAAGTCTTCAATAAAATAGTTTCTCACCCAACTTTCTAGCCTTAATTCTGTTCTCTACCACATGACCCATGTGACAGACAACTTGGCTTTTCCTCTTCTGTGGGTCCAGAAAGAAACCCTACTGTCTTCTCAGTTCTTAATAGGTGCTTTTTGAAGACAAGCAAACTAATAAAAGTTTTGTGGACTAAGTTTCAAAACACTACAATAATGATATTCCCCTTTTGGAGAAAAGAATACAGTTGTCTTACCATAGTTTGGGTAGCTTATATCCAGAGAAGTTTATTTGTCACAGATTTCATGGTTGAGAAGTCCAAAGTCTGCTGAGGGCCTGTTTCCACAGAGACAGCGCCTTCTCGACATGTCTTCGTGTGGTGGGGTCATTCATAAGGACAGTAAGCCTGCGGATGAGGGCCAGCCCATGACCTATCACCCATGATCTAGCACCTCATCTCCTGATGTCATCACCTATGTCATTTCAACATAGGTGGAGGTGTAAGGAAAGCCCCACTGCAGGAAAACCAACTGTACTGTTACACAACTGAACTTTCTTCACAGAACCTTTGTTAAAATATGATGAGACCTTACTGTCATACCAGGAGATGATTTAGAAATGCTAATCATGCATTTCCAAGGTAAAATGGGGAGGATTTATATAAATTTTATTGATGCAAGCACTTTTCATTATAATTTTGTGTCTTAGAATCATAGACATTTTAATTTATGTGAAGCATAGCAGTCATTTAGTTAAACTTACAGAACTGCTGGCACACTCACTAAATTGAGTGTGACCGATTTTCTATTATCTTGACTTTGTGAGTCTACTTATGTCATGTGAAAACTTACAAAAATCAGTCTGGCCACATTCTAGTCTCTCATTAATTTTTAGCACTTGAAAGAGACAGTGACCACGTTTCCTTTTCCAATTTATCTCTCCTCTTCAGTCTAAGCATTGTAAGCTAGAGAGTAAGCTCCATGAAATCTGGAGCTTCCCCTCCCCAGTCTTCCCCTCCATCCCTTTCCCTTCTTTCCTTTTCCCTTCTCTTTCCTTTCCTGCATTCTTTCTTTGAAGTACAGGGGATTAAACCCAGGACCTCCTCACTGAGCTACATCCCAAGCCTCATCTTTATTTTTTATTTTGATGTCTCTAAATGGCTCAGTTTGGTCATGAACTTGGATCTCCCTGCCTCAGCTTCCCAGACTGCTGGAATTACAGGAGTACACCACTACACCAGGTGATTCTCGATACATGCTTACCTTTGTCAGATCCTTCATGCGTGCTTGGTATATGGATTATCCCCATCTGCTTATGTCCAAGTCCTATCGTTCTTTTTTTTTTATTTTATGAAAAAAAAAGAAAATTCATAACAAAATACAAGAACATAACAATAGTTAATATACAGTGTATAATCATCTTCAAAATAGTTAGAGTATAAGATGTAGACCAAAGAGATTCTTACAAAGAAGAAACAAACAGATAATAACACAAAACTTCCTTTTCAGTGGACTAAGATAAACATCTGTGAAGAAGTAGCTCAGATATAGACAAATGTTTCCATGAAACCTGAAGTCATAAGTGAGCGTGTCCATGTTCCTTTTACTTGTATTTCCACTTTGATTATACCTACATATGTTAATTATATATCTGTATTAGGTCAATCAATAGGAGAGTATCAATATTCAACTGTTTTGAGATGCAAAGGTTGTTTCTTATATATCTACATGATGAACTCATGAGTTACTTATATAGCCTCTCGATATATAGATATATATTAAACCTTTATCCTTTTGACTGGATTAGAATAACATGATACGGTTTAACTTTTGTAAAGCTTTCTGTTTTCTGAACTATGTAATATAAGGTGTTAAGCTCAGGAAATGATCAGTGAAAGTTTTTTTTGTGAGATCATAGTTACACGTCCTACTAAATTTGAGTAATTGAAATGTAGTGAGATGTACCTACGGGGTGTTTATTTGGAATATTTTGTGAATAGGTGACTGAGGAATTCATAACGATAGGTTAATCTTCTGTAAGAAAAGTTATTTTTCACATTTAGTGTACACATCATACCATTTGTTATTCTCCACGTAACATAATCATCGAGCTCAGCCCTCATTAGCAGAGTGAACATTTGCAAAAGGAAGTTATGTGGGTTTTGTTTAAATTTTAGCAAATGATGCATACAATTTGGAAACTCTGTTTGACTTCCTTCCATAATTTCTTATTTAAGTCAGTGGGTGTATTGCCTTTGCAAGCATGGAGGCTGTTATTTTAATACAATTCCTGCCAATGAAGATGAATGATTCTGTAATATAAGTCAATTATTTATTTGATTTCCTTCTCAGAGGAACTTATTTCAATAGCAGAAACTAACCATTTTTCTTTTCAATATCAGGCTGGCCTCAGGACTGAGTAAGTAAAAATAGAAAATTGATAAGGATCCATGTAATACACGAAGCCAATCTGATACTTCACAAGAGTACTTGCCAGAGAGTCCTAACAGAATATCAATTGTCCTGAATTATACGCTTTTGCTTACTCTTTGTTTATTAGTGTTCACAATTGATTCATCCTTATTTCACACTGACTTTAAGTCTTTACACAGGGTCAACATGGCCCACATCATCTCAACCACAGTTACAAGCATAGCGAGGTCAGAGGTCTGCAGCTCAGATTTTAGTTTCTGCCTTTGTTTCCTTTCTATCATGAAGCGGGTATTTTGATTGCTGATGGATTTGGGCTGACCTGCTGCTTATAAACTTGGTTTGTAAATTTCCATTCTTGCCCTAACTTACAAACAACTGAATTCTTGAAATTTTTAGGTTATACACTTGGAAGTTTTTTGCTTCCAATTTATTGTGTCATTAAATATTTATTTTTGTTTATTTTTGGTAATTCTAGTTTTTGCTAATATCTATATTAAAGACCTTGCACATATGCCAAAACACCCTTATTACACCAGACCGGTAGAGCAATTTTTGTTTCATTATCTCATGGGAAATGTATTTAATGTTTGAATTTCATACTACCTGGAAAATTGTAATAGCATGTATTCAATAGGTGCAACCTAGAATGTGATTGTAAAATAAAGGCAGGAAAACTTTAAACCTTTCAATGCAATTCTAGCTAGTTGTGTTTTATTAGGGGAAAACAAACTTTGTAAAATTATGTATAGTGACAGTTTTAATGCGCTGAACACAAAAGATTCCTCCCCTTCCACCTAACACTTAGGGCAAGGTTATTTGTAATAGCTTACTCCTCTTTTTTCTCACAGCAAGATGAAAGCATTGATTAACAACAATTTAATCGAGAATATGTATGTAAATAGATACATACATACTTGTGTGTATATGTGTGTTTCCTCAAATTCAGAAAAACAGAAAACCAAGTCCAGCCCACCCTGAGGCCCACACAAAGGCTACAACAAGAAGCAGGTGTCCAAGGACATTCTTCATCTAGATGACTTGCTACCCAAACAGGGCATTTCAGAACAGCACTAGTGATTGTGTTGCTATGGCAATTGTGCCATGTGCCCAGCAACCAGACATATGCTGCAGCTGAGAGTTCTAAAATGCCCACTTCAAAGCGACAACTGCACAATTGTTAAAGCTGTCATGTATTTTTTTAATCTGACTTTTGGATAAAATATTAGAGTTTATGGAGCGTTTCCTGTACCTTGTTATCATAAGAAAGAATGTCATTAACAGAATTCTGAACTCCAGTATGAAATACTGAGCATCATGTCTAAAGAAGTCTTAAGAAATAATTTCAGCTTAAAAGGTGGGGTCAGCTTTTAAAGAACTTGGCTTTTTCTCTCCAAGTTTCAATATTCTTTTTTAATACCTGAACCTTTTGTGCTACACATAAACAAGCGTGGATGGTAATTATCAAGATAATGACCCAGGCTGTTGTTCTTTCATATTCTGTGATATCACAAATTGTTATCCGTTCATTCGAGTTTCAGTATCACTAAATCATAGTACCTACTGTTTTCTGCATAATTTGCTTAAAATCCTACTGCTACTTTCAGACTGCTTACCTCAGATTTTTTTGACATCTTTGAGGACATAATAGAGCATTGTTTCAGCTTTAAAATTCCATAACCAATGAGTAATCTAATGCTAAAAGCTGAGCAGAGCAGACCAGCCTTGCTCTGATCCTTTCTTCTTCTCTCCAGCATAGCATCAGTCCTACATCATCCCTTAGCTTAGGATTCTGAGACCCCTCACAGGATGCCTGTTGAGAAATCTGCTCTTGCCAGGGCCTCTAAAAAGTGCATTTGGAGATACCAAACCAGCATGCACAACATGAAAGCTACATTTAGCCAATTATCAGAGTATTTGGCAAGAAAAGTAAGCACAGCATGGAGGAAGTATAATATCTCCCAGTGAAAACCAATTCAGATTAGAGATGTCTTGGCTTCATTCCTGATTTCATCAAAGGTTTAACCTGATTATCAAACTGTTCTGAAAGAAATTTCCCAGAACACAAAGGCAAGAGCAACTAGGAGCTATTAGTGCAGGAGCTGTCAACCCCGGCTGCCCTTGACAATCACCAGGGATGCTGTTTGCAAACACCTACGTCCTGGCCCAGCCCTGAAGATAATGATTTAATGGGAACAGAGCATAGCCTTTTCCTTTGTTGGTTTGTTTGTTTGCTTTAAATTCTCTAGTAATGCTATTGTACAACCAGGCTGGAAAACCAGGGCATGAGGGAAATACTGTTTGTGGTAAAAATATGGCACAGAGGTAGCATCTAGATTTTCTGTTCCAGAACTGGGTCCCAGCAACCTGGCTTGGTGCTGAGAGTTGAGACAACCAAGGTCTGATGACCTGCCAAGGAGATTCCAGCCTAGAGACAGAAGGGAGGAGGAAAACCGTGCTTTTTCATGTGCTTGCCTGTTCCTCTCTTTCTGAGAGTAGAGAAATTGGTGAGCCCCCTGGTAGTGCTGTGGTATAGAATTACACAGCACACAGCCCCTGCTTTCTGCAATATCCTGTCCCTTGTCTCTGCCTATTAAACTTTGAGGACTGAGGGAGCACAGCCTCCTGCGGAAAGTGGGGAGAACTCAGCTTGAGCAAATTAAGGTTTAGCTGGAAAAACCCTGGGGACTGTGCTGTCCAAGGCAATTCTAGGAATGGCAGTGAATGAATGGCATTCCTCTCTAAGTAGCCACAGCCGGGATGGTCTTGAACAGTGATGCCCTCGGTGTGAGATGACGCTGGTGACTAAGACGCTGCCTCCCACACCCACTGAGGGGCATCTGTGAAACCAGAAAAACACCATGTGGCAGACAGTTTTTCCTCCCATTTGTGTGCTCTGCCGGAATCTTGAGCTCATGCTTTCAAGGTGAAGATGGAGCGTAACTGCCCTTGGTTACCATATCCATCTCCTAGGCCCATAGCGATAAACTAGCACAAATTTGGTGGCATCAGGCAACAGGACTTTATTTTCTCACAGTTTTGGAGGCTGGAATCCTGAAATCCAGCAGAGCCACACTCCCTGCTACCGAGGACTCCATCCTCCTCTCCTCCAGCTTCTGGTGGCTGCCTCAGCACTCCTGGGCTGGAAGCCCTGTCACCTAAACCTCAGCCTCCCTTTCACATCACTTTCCCTCTTTTTATTGGTGTGTGCTTGCAGTACACGACAACTGTGTGAGTGGTGGAGAGTCGGTATGTGTATATAGCACATCCTAAGTCCTCTTCTCACGCCCCGCTTCTGCCACCTCAGTCCCCTTCAGCTTTGCAAACTTGAGGACTTCTGCAAAGACCTTTCTGCCAGACAGGGTAACACAAGCCCAGGTACTCAGACATGGACACATCTTTTGTTGGAGGGGCGCCGCCTTTGCTCTCTGCAGTCGCCAAGTGCTGTACCCATCAACGAGGTCACTGGGTAGGAAGTGCAGTAAGGAAAACAGGGCAGAGAGAGTGAATAGGGTTGGTTAAAACCTCAGGCATTTCCCCGGTTTGTTTCACTCCTCTGGTAAGAAACTCTCAGTTAACTGTAAATGCAGCAGGCAGTGAAAGCATTCCCTGGTGCTCCAAAAGCCTCCCCCAATCTGCCGTGCTGCACCCTGAGCCAGAGACAGGAAAAGAACTGTGTGGCTCTCGTGGCTCTGTGTATTGCTCACTTCCTCTGTGCCAGGCACTCTTGCCAGCCTCAGCAGTGTAATGGCCCTGTCACGGCACTGGGACCTGACAGCCGTCATGCGGAGTTTCTCATACAGACCACGCTCCACACACACAGTCGCCAAAGCCGGTACAACCCCGCAGAGCATGTACACACACACACACACACACACACACACACACACACACACACACACACAC